ATATTGTTTTCTCGCATCGAAGTAGCTTTCAACCGCTTCGCTACCTGCAAGTTGGCCAGGGGTACCGCCCACGGAGTGTCTGCTTGAGAATCCGACGGAAGAAGTGTCCCAGCCAGGTGTTCCGGCGATGGAGTCTCCGGGACTGTGCTTGGATCGACCCGAGTAGTCGGAAGGACTAGTAACACTGCCCGCTGCTGAGTTGGTGATGTCTTCCAGATCAAGGTGGAGCAGATCGTCGAGGCTATCGGAATCCGAGGGGAGGCTAATGCCGCCAGAAGTGCCAGCTGTCATGCGCCGCTGTCGGACCGACGCGACTTGAGCTTGAGCGTTGGTGAAGTGCCAAGCATTGGAGAATGACGTAGCAAGGTGAGGGCCAAGGTGCTTCAATGAGTTGGTAAGGTTCCGCGGATATGGCACGATGGGCGACAGTATGGAAAGAATCGCAATGGGCGCTTTCCGCACAAAGCCCTCCTTGTTCAGCGACGTTGACATGGACTGTTCGGACTGTCTTCGCGTCATTGACGGCGTTTGATTTGGCGTGGAGGTTGCTGGAGACGCCATGATCTGAGATAGAATGGGATGCACCAGAGGTATGTGTGTGACGGTACTGGCTTTGTCAACGCCAATGGCCTCAACCATGCCAAATTGTGTGTAGTCTTGAGGTGAACGCGACGGGTTGAATGTTTCCTCGTCGACATTGCCTGTAGCGAAGAACGGATTGGCATCAGCATCATTCTGGATAGCCGGTGACGGGGCGGGCGACTGTGCCCATGGTGAGCTTGGGTACTGTTCGTACTCTTCATAGCGTTGCGGCAGGCGGGGATCATTCGTAGCCAGATTGGCACGGCCACGAGCAGCGGCCGCTTTGTGGGCTTCTTGTGCAGCAGCACTACCCTGTATCGCAGAAGGTTTGTTCTGTTCCGATTTGTCCTTACCTAAGTCCTCTTTAGATGTCGAATGCGAAGTCGAGTAATCTCTAGTCAGAGTGACCAAGCGCCCTCTCTCCAAGACACGGTTAACACCGGTGTTGTCGATGAGGGCATCTGGCTCGTGATCGAGAGCACGCAGTACATGGTACACAGCGCTGGGCGGCGAAGGCTCTCCCACACTGGAGAATTCTGGGTCGCTAAAGGTAGGTCCACCTGTTGGTGTCGAGCCAGCGAATGCGGGAGAGGCGCCATCAAAGGAAGCCTGTGAGACCTGCCTTAGCGGATGCTCTGGCCTGGCAGCCATATGGGGTGCGTGGCTGGCAGACCTCATTGGACCTCTTGGCCGGTTGAGCGACGCCGGTGTGGACGTATCTGGAGCGGCGCTGGACTTCTGGCGTTCGTGGCCGGCGAAGGAGTGATGCGAGAATAGCTTTGGTCTGCGTTCCGGGATCGTGGTGGAAGGAGGCATGTCGGCATGTTCATAGTCGCGTGAGCTTGGGTTCTCTTCCGACTGGAAATGGCTTGCTGCTTCCTGGTAGGTGGCTGCATGCGGGCTTCCCTCGTTCCCCATGGCAGTAAAACTAGTCTTCTGGCCCCATGGCACGTTCTCGATATCAGACGCATCCGCTGGTACTGCCAAGGTGGCTCTTTCCGCTCCATAGTGGTCGCGCATGATGGACGTTACCGCCGTCCACCAAGCAGCGAGGCCGGGCTCAGCACCCAGGCGCAGTACGATGTCGTAAAGATTGGGACTCGGGAATCGCGGGTCTTCTGCATCCGGGCTCTGGTAGTTTCTTCCTCCGGGGGCGAAGGGCGTGCTTGATGCGGCGGGGGTGCTGCTCTCGGAGGCGATGCGCTCTTGCGGGGTTGCGTACTCTCGCGACTGCCCCGCTGCTACCGTGGGCGATAGGCTGGTGAAGGGCATGTGGAATGCCGAGGCCCATCGTGGCGTGTTTGGGACTGAAGGGAAGGGGTAGGATGGCGTTCGAACGGCATGGGTGGCGGCGGGCGTGGGTGGCATGCTGCCGCGAATGGTCCTCGCCGACTCGGTCGATTCGGTCGACGTGGTAAGGCCCGTAGGAAGCGGCGGGTTCGGGCTCGGGGTTGGACTGATAAAGGCGCCCTCGAGGGTGGGCGAGATGCCTGGCATGGGTTCCTCCTTGATGGGCGATATGCGCCGAGAGCCCAGCGCGACAGCGGAATTGTTGGACGAGCTCCGCATGCGCGCCCGCTGCTGTTGCTGCAGCATCTTCAGCTGCAGGCCGCGCAGGCGTTCCACCTCCATCTCGTCGGGCGAGGCCTCGCTCAGTGGCGCTTCTTCCGCGGCCAGCTCGTCGGCACCAGCGCCTTCGTCCTCGTCGCCCGGCTGGCTCTCTGCCTCGCTCAGTTCGCTGTCGGTGGCGGCATCGTCGCGGGGTCTGCTCGGGTTCCGGGTTCCGGGCGAGGGCTGCGACGTTTGCGACTGATATGTCTTCGCGTCGCTGGCGGCCAGTCTCTGCAGTGGCGGGCGCGTCGTGGGTGGCGGCGCAGTCTCTCTCTTGGGATTAGGAGAGGGTGACGGGGCCTTTGTCATTATTGCATTCCCCAGTCTCCCACGTAACGCGCAAGTGGTGTCGTGATGGGGTCGAGGCAACGGCGGGCATAGATGGGATGGTGAGCTATGACGTCGCGGAGTGTGCTCCTGGCAAGAATGGACGGTGAAGCGGCCTCAGCACATGGACAGGTCAACAACACGACTTAATGGCCACCAGTGGTTTTCGCACTGTCAGACTGCCAGCAGAGGCCGAATCCCACCGGAGCGCAGAGACAAGCTGGGAGTGCTTGGTGAGTAAGAATCAGGTGGTGGGCTCATGCCAGGATCAGGAGCAGGATAGCCTCGCGCCCGTGGGCTTCAACACACGCCCGCATACACTTACAGAAACGTCGAGGCCGCGCACTGCACGCGCTGGACAAAAGCAGTTTGGATGGATCGTGGATCGCGTAAATGATGTGTATTGGCGCGAGGGACCGTCTTGCTCCTGTCTCATTACAGCCGCCCGCTTGGACGAAATTGACTGTTGGCTGCGAGCCGCTAGATCACGGCCAGCGACGTCATCAGGGTTTCTCGATACTCCAGCCGCGCCTATGCCGATCTGGAAACCTCCAGCGACGCCCAACCTCCACAGCCCGTACTCACCGCACCGCATTCTCCCTCTTCGCTGTCTCTACATCGTGATCCTGCCTTCACCACCCATCCCCGTCGACCGCTCTTGGGGCGCTCTACATGGCGTCAACTACTATTTTAGCGATGGCCAACGGGATGCCACGTTTCCCCATTGGATGGGTACCCCTGCACATTTCCAAGACGGTTTCCCATGCCGTCCCGAACCGGCTAGCGCCAGCAGCTTTCCTTCCGGAAGCCTGAGAGACGCTCGACGCACCACCGTTCTCGACACTACTCAAGAGCCTCACTAGCGACGCTGCCGTCCCTCTCTCGATTGACGTGTTGAATACGCTATCCCGCAAATTTGGCCGTCCTGTCGCGTCTCGGCCCGAATCTGCGCCTGCCTACAAGTAACCCATGGAGCCACTTGTGGTGTCATTGTGCTGGAGGGCGGACCATGCGGCTGGATCTTGCAGTATACCAGAGTACACTAGGAAGCCTCAGCGGCTTTGGCGCTTCCATTCTTCTAGCTCCTGTCAAATGCGGCGGGGCGGAATCCCAAGACAACGTGCGTGGTAACAATGTGCCGAGCAGCTGCCATGCGAGACACGCTGCGCTCCAAACTTTAACAATCTCTACCCGTCAGCTGGCGGGTACCTGCCTCACGTGCGAACACCACGGCTGACAGGTACCCACCGCCATGCCCGCGTCACCCTCGGCAGAGGTATCGTGAGATCAGATAATGCCTGCTCGCAGCCCTGTACTCGCAATCTATCATCATCCGCGACTTACCGCGCTTCCGTTCCGACGCTCGGAACGACTACCCCAACCAATCATCATACAGAGGTCTTCGAACGGGTACCTTACATTGCCCATTACTACCCAACGCAGATCTACAGACAATCCCAATATCGAGACGCCACAGCCGTCTTCGGTGAGGATGATCTTTGTGCGAACCGTTATCCAGGGTCCGCGCAGCTCTACTTATGGGACAACCACGGTACGCAATCGCCGATCAGATCGTGATGATCGCCACCCATGAACGTTTGAGCCGCGCGTAGCCTATCCGTGCGAGATATGGCACTACATCTCTCCATGAAGAACTATGATTATTACCGAAGAATGAGCTGTTTCGCATATTTAATGGTGTATGAACAAAGGACCATCTACATCTTACAAATACCATCTGCCTGCGCACCAGCATCAGATTTAACCTTACAGCACAGACCACGTGAAGTGTCTCGCCATTTCCTGCACCAGTACGCGAACATTAACGACAACACTCGCCATAGACAATATCTCCCAAATCAAAGGGCCAGCTACCATACGATCTAATCGAATTCACTTTTGCGTCACCGGAAGGTAAGCGGGTAAAAAGGCCAAGCGGATGACAAATACATCTAGTACTACATTTCCAGCAAGCCTCAAACACACCGACAAGACATCACCGCTCATTCAACAACCATCAATGAAACGACCGCACACCACATTGATCTAGACACTTCCAGCGCTTTAAACATCCTCGTCTTTTCCAAGACCTCTGCGAGTATTGGCAGCGCTACCAGCATTACCCGCACAGAGATCCAGCACCATATCTCCTCTGAACTCCGCATGACAAACCATACTCGGCTCGTTCGTGTAGGTCCTTCCGAAGTAATATATTGGGCAGTACTCCGTGCCTTTACACTCGATTGGACGACATACACTAGCATCACAGCCGTCTTTCGCTTTGAACGATACCTTCATCCCGTTCTGATACCCAGGACACATGTCGATCTTGTGTTGCATATCCGTAACGGACATGTTGAGATCGTTGAACTTGTTATGGCCGTACAAAGCAGGATGCTTGGCAGGATCAGCGCAATCCAGGAGCGAAACGTCTTGGGGTGAAGTCAGTAAAGATGTTACTCAGCTAAGACGCGTGCTGTTCACTTACCATACCAGAGCTTCTGATACGTATCACCAGCAGTCTTGTTCTGGACCAGCCCATACTCAAACTGTAGAATCTCCGCTGGCTTGCTGGGATTCCACATCTTGAATACCGGACTCTGACCGCGCAGCTTATCGTATTCCGCACAGTAGTCGGCTCGGCGCTGATCGTCATAGGCTGGGCAAGTGACGCGAAAAGGCTCTGTGTAGCTTCCTCCAACTGCGATAGTATGCTTGACGTGATCTTGGTAGAAATCCCAGGTTCCGTTGCCTCCTTTCTCCTCGGACCTGTCACCACCCAGGGTATAGGCAGCGACCGAGTTTAGATCAAACTCTTCCTGGCAGTGGTTGTTGATAATGACGTTACCGTACTCCGGTCCCTCATCCGCCACCAAGCCGACTGACTCCGCAGGTGATGCTGGTGACACACCCGATGCAGTCGCGTCAGCGCCGCCACCGCCGGTACCAGCACCAGAAGCCATAGCCGGAGGTGCAGAGCCCGCAGAAGATGCCACAGGCACGCCCATAGACGACATGAACTCCAAGACCGAACTCATCGACATGCTCCCCTCAGCCGCCGATGTCAAGCCCAGAAGCGGTGCCTCGCTCTTCTTGACTACGCCGGCGTGTGAGAAGGGGCTGCTCTGTTGGCCGTGTGGTATTAGTACCAGGGCAAACCCCAAAAGCATGAAGTACTCGGCGTAGAAAACCATCGTTGGGGTTGGGAGTTGCAGATATGAAGATGTGCGCTATGAAGAACTGATCGTCTGCGTAGCGTTGTTGGTACAGGTTGATAGAGAAGAGCGTTGTATTTTGCATGTAGTAGAAATTTGCAGGGAAAAGGTGTATGTGGAGGAAGATGAAGGGAAAGAAAAGAGTTGAAATATGTGTAGTGTTCCTGCCATGAGTCTTTGACGATGACTTGGAGCGATGCGGGAAGTGACTGGCGTTGACAGACGTCTGCTTGACTCGTACGGTGACAAGATTGTCAACGTCGCTATGAATCAACGCCTTTTCTGTATGTAAGAGTCATGGTTCTGTGCTGGTAAACCATCAGACCATTCTCATCTCATATCTATCCCATATCGTGCCCTGTAATGTTTTCCCGCCATCTTGCATCCGAATCTAACCGCCATATCTCCTGCCAATCAATCTCCAACCTCGAACCACTTGAGCAGCTCAACATTATACTCCTGGAATCCAGCGACAAGATCCGCAGCACCTACATTTGGTTGCTGTAGGAGAGTAGCGTAGAAGCAAGCTACACGTGTCGCGAACACACCCGGCCTGAATGCCACCCATTCCCGACGTCCCTCCGACTCCTGGACAAACAGACCTAGCTCGCGATGCGCAGCTAGAGCAGGCAGGGATGCGTCTTTCCAAGAGGACGCTCTCAAAGTCTGCTTGTGGGTCCGCCAGTCCGCACCTGCCTTTCCGTGGTAGTTGGTAGCCATCTGGAAGTCTCGTAATTTAGCGTGAATTTTGTGCCACAACAACATTGATGTATACGATTCCTTGAAATCAGCGGTACCCAATTCTCTTTTCATTCTCTTGAGAGTCTCGGTGGTGGACAGCTTGCATCGGATGAACTCGAGCTTTCTGGTCTTGGAACCCTGAGGGGTCGACGTCTTGAGCACCTCTACCAGCTCATCAAAGGCGGCTTGTTGGTGGTGTGACTCTTCCAATGGCTTAGGGTCCATGGAAGGTTCTCCAATTGGGTCCTCATGTAGTGGAGCATGCGTCGCAACGTCCTGCTGTGGTTGCAGAGCCATGTTCATGAACCGGTCGATCAATGATGTGTCGTCGCTAGATTCGACCTGACGACCGTCCTCCATGCTGGGAGGAATACCGCTGCAGTTGACATCGCTTGTTTGTGTTGCAGATCGCTCATCCCAGCGTGTATACGGGGGACAATCTGCGTCCGGGCTGGTCGTAGTCAAGAACGAGTTTCCTTCTTGCGCGTCCGGCTCCTTCAGCCTTCCCTCCTTCAGGGGCAGTGCATCGATCTCCGCGTCATCTTGTTCTCTGAGAGTACGTCCAAGCGTAGTACCGTTATAAGTAGATACATCGCTGATGGTCCTGATATCTGGCGATATAGTGGGGGAGCCCTCCTGCTTGATAAATCCGTATGATTCCGAGTCGTCGCTGGGGTTATCATCATCGCCATAAGAAGTGGTAGTAGTTCTCAGAACGACTTCTTCGGGTGCGCTATTATTGGAGGGGCCCCTGACGAAGGGTTTGGGTAAAGGCGCGTTAGAGAGAAAGCGTTCCTGCTTCCTAACTTTCCTAAGCGTGTCTTTTCGAGACGTAAAGAGGCGTTTCCCGATCAAACATCTGAGCATGATCTCGATACTAGCCATATCAGTTCAGTTTTCTTGGAAGACAGAGTTGTCTTACGTCGCTTTGTCATCCGGCTGGCTAATGCGAAGTTCGTTCGTGGCACTTCTTCGGTCATCGTCTCCCCATATAGAGCCGTAGCGCGACATCAAGCCTCGAGCTTCTTCCTTGAAGCACTAGGGATCCTCGTACGCCTTCCGTAGGTTTGGAAGGTCCATGGGCAATGTACTGTTGATCACTGCTTTCGTGACGCCTTCATACAGTTCTTCCGCATTTGGATCAAGCAGACGGTGTTTACCGCCCACTCTTTCATCCGCAGCCAAACCCAGACTGCTGAGGTAGTCTGTTACCGCCCTTTCTGACTTCAGAGAGTCCGCCAGTAGAATCTCGCCCTCTTGTTTGAGCTTGACCGCATGCGCTGCAGGCTTTGCTTCCTTGTCAATAATCAGTCAAATTCAATAGCGAAGAGGCGAAACTTACCTTATCCATGGCGTACCAGACAACAGAAATCTTCTCCGGTTAGGTTGTCTTTGTGCGAAATGCAGAATTTTGGATTGTGTGGGTGAGATGTCACCTGGACTACCAGGCGTTGTTGTGGTTACCTAGGTACTTGTGCAAAGGCCCCCAGGTTTTCTTGGCGAACTGATCACTACCCAACAACTCGGGAAAGCATTGAATTCCAAACAGCTATCGATTTCGTAGGGATATTAAGACCAAACCGCTCTACAGCGCTCTCCACCAGTGTTCGGACAAAGAATGTTGTCTTACGTCTGGGACTAAACAGAGTGGGGAAGTAACGTGAGAAGACTTCAGTGGTGTCTTACAGCGACGATCTCTATTTCATAAACGATGAGACTCGAACTATAAATATGTTTGGGAAGAAAGAAGTGACATAAAGAACGGTATGTGAGGGTTAGGGGAGAGATTCGACGCAGACAACCCGGAATGCTACTCCTGCATACGATGCACGTTAGTTAATTTTGACTAAACAAGTCCGAGTAGCCTTCAAGTCGCTAGGATCATGTTCTGTCATAATCCCCTTCCTCCGCATGTTCATATTGTCTGTCTTTCTACAAGCGAGCGCGCTTGGGTTCATGTAAAACAAGGTCAATACAACGCGCGTAAGCCGTCGGAGAGATCTACGGAAGGTAGGATGAGGCTTATCTCCACTAGGTGTGTCAAGGTACGAGTGACTTTTGTGGATGTATGAATGAAGAAAGACTCACGACCTTGCGTGCTTGCTCATCGATGTCTGACGTTCCGGAGCTAGCTGGCCACGAGGAAAACAAGTCCGCGCCTGCCCTGTGTCAGCCACAGCCCACCCAATCACCGCGCAGTACCTGACGACTCCGCATTCCAGGCCCTCGATTTTCCTCCACATTCCGCGTCGGCGCTGTTCCGCCCTCCCGCGTCAAGATGCCGACGCAACCCATACTAGAGCTTCCCGAGGCTGCGACGATGCTTGGGTATACAGATATCCGGGAGCGCTCCAATTCTCCCCACAGTGATTTGTTATCTACACCTCCACAGTCTGTGAGTTGAGCGCTGCATAGCATATTTTGGAAGTGTGGAAGTTTGTATACTTGCGCAAAGTCCAGCCCAGCATGCCGTCAATATCCCTCACACTGCGCACTGCGCGCACCTTTTCGCGAAGCACAACAAAAGTCATTCAACCTTCTCTTGTTACTCTCCGTCGGCTGCTAACACTGACAGACATACCTCAACCTCTCGCGCTCCTTCTCCTCGTCTCTGCGCCGCAATGAGATCAACAAGGTCTACCCGAGTGCCGCAGCGGCTATCGAAGACATGGCCTCTGACAGTACGCTGCTATGCGGAGGCTTCGGACTTTCAGGCGTCCCAGACACGCTTATCCACCAAGTAAAGAGCACACAACACATCACAGGCCTGACCGCCGTATCCAACAATGCCGGCATCGTTGGAGGAGGCCTCGGCCTGCTACTCGAAAGCAAGCAAGTCAAGAAGATGATTGCGAGCTACGTAGGCGAAAACAAAGTGCTCGAGCAAATGTACCTCACCGGCGAGCTAGAACTCGAACTCACACCGCAAGGCACCCTCGCCGAGCGATGTAGAGCAGGCGGCGCCGGCATCCCAGCCTTCTACACACCCGCCGCCTTTGGCACCGTCGTGCAAACCGGCGAACTAGCCCTCAAGCACAACAGCGACGGCAGCGTAGCCCAATACTCCACACCGCGCGACGTCAAAGTCTTCGCAGGCAAGAGCTACGTAATGGAAGAAAGCATCAAAGGCGACTACGCCTTCATCAAAGCCTACAAAGCCGACCGTTTAGGCAACGTGCAATTCCGCTTCTCAGCCCAGAACTTCAACGGAGCCATGGCCCGCAACGCAACCACCACAATCGTAGAAGCAGAACACATCGTCGAGCCCGGCGAGATCCCTCCCAATGCCGTCCACGTCCCCGGCATCTACATCGACCGCGTAATCCAATCGACGGCGGAAAAGAAGATCGAAAAAGTCGTCAACGCAAAAGACCCTAAGGAAGCCGTCTCCGCCCTCGGCGCCGGCGACGCAGCCTCGAAACGCGAACGCATCGTGCGCCGCGCCGCGAAGGAGTTCAAAAACGGCATGTACGCCAACCTAGGCATCGGCATGCCCATGCTCGCCCCTTCCTTCGTAGACCCCTCCGTAGAAGTCCAACTTCAGTCTGAAAACGGCATCTTGGGTCTAGGTCCCTACCCGCAAAAGGGCCTCGAAGACCCTGACCTCATCAACGCTGGCAAAGAAACTGTCACTCTTCTCCCCGGCGCATCGTGCTTTGGCTCTGAAGAGAGTTTCGGTATGATTCGTGCGGGCAAGATTGATCTGACTATTCTCGGTGCTATGCAAGTGAGTGCGAGGGGCGATTTGGCGAACTGGATGTTGCCCGGTAAGGTCAAGGGATTCGGCGGTGCGATGGATTTGGTCAGTAATCCGGAGAAGACTAAGGTGGTTGTTACCATGGAACATACGGATAAGAAGGGGAGGCCCAAGATTCTGAAGCAGTGCGAGTTCCCGCTTACGGGTAAGGCCTGTGTGAGCAGGATTATTACGGATTTGGTGAGTACCCCTGTTCTCCTTTTGGGTTGTTTGAATTGGGAACTAATAATTGCGTAGTGCGTGTTTGATGTCGACTTCACAGAGGGCTTGACGCTCATCGAGCTTGCGGATGGTGTTACTGTGGATGAAGTGCGGTCGAAGACTGGTGCGGACTTCAAGGAGGCGGCGGAGATCAAGCCGATGTTGTAGGAGATGTATAGTCTTCACACTTGCACAAAAAATACCAATTTCGTTTTTCTGCACAGATGATGCACGTCTATTCCAAACCCCCAAGCCCGCTATGAGACAAGTACGCAAACTAAGCCTATTGATAATGCAAACACCGCAAACCACTACGTACAACCATCCTACTCCGTCCTCGTCTTCAAACTACCACTCGCGCCATCAACAGCGGGATCGTAGTCGCTTCCAGCCTTGAGACTCTTACTCCTTGACGGTACCATCGTAGGATTGGCTTCCTTCAACGGATCCACCTCCGCAGCCTCGATATCACTGTCCTCACCATCAATACCCGCCTCACGCCTCCGTCTCTGGCGCTCCAACCACTCCTCTTCATCCTCATCCTCGCTGTCATCCTCACCAACAACGCCATACCTGCCTTCACTACCGCTACCACTACCATGCTCAGGGTCCTTGATAAAGTTATCAATGATCCAGTACTGCAGCGCATTCATAATCAACGGGAAAATGAACATGACAAAAGTGATTTGCAGTGCGGTGTTTCCTTCTGTCCAGCGCAGTGCCCAGTCTCCTACCCATGCGATCCAGGGGAGGAAGGCGAAGATGGCGAGAACGCAGAGTTTCATGCCGATGAGGCCGAGGAAGTAGATTATGGATTGCTTGAGCCACCAGGTTGCGCGAGGTGGTTGGCCGTAGTTGCCGCTGCGGATGGACTCTGGGGGGTTGGCTAGCGGAGTTTTGGCGAATGCGGCGTGGAGGACTTTGAGGAGGAGCACGAGGATTGGGATACCGATCGTGGTCTGGGGTCGTTAGTTGCTGATTGCAGATGTTCGTGGGAATGAACTTACGTCGATGGCCAGGTTGAGGAGGTAGAACGAGCACGGGTTTGGCTGGTCACCCTCCTCGTTGGTTCCGGCATACTTGGTCGTCGCGCTGGTTGTCGCCGCGACGTCGAATTTGCCGGAGGACAGCATAGACATCAGGACGTTTGCAAGATGTAACAGAACCGAGCCAAAGACCTGCTTGGAAACATCGAAGAACCAGATCTTTATGGGCCGTCGCGGAGACTCCCTCAGCCTCTTGATTGCGAGAGAGGATACGGCGAGTAGTCCAAGGAAACCTTGTACAATCAGTGCAAAGTTTCCAAGGAGGTTGCACTCGCCCTTGTCGCTCTCGCCATCCATCGGGTTTCCTTGTGCGGCTACAGCTTTGCTAGGCTCGGCGGCCGGTACTGCTGTCTTCTCAGGCTTGGTCTCTGCCGGAGTAGCTTCAGACGAGGGTGTAGATGTCGGCCTGGGTACGTTCTCGGGCGCAGCTTCTTCGTCGTTGGCGTTGACGTTGTCATCCGTAATACCAGTCGGTGTCGGTGTGGCAGGGGCAGCCTTCGAAGGCTCAACAGGTTTCGCAGGTTCCTTTTCCACGCCGTCGATGCCCATAAGCTCGGTCTCAAAAACTGCACGCACCATTAGCCAGACCCAAACTCTCCGCATAAAGCAAACATACCCAGCGTTGATCCCGCAGGAATCTTATCACCCATAGCGTGGTTTCCATACGCCAGCCCAGGCGGGATAACCAACTTCCTGGCCTCTCCAATACACATATCCAGCAGGCCCTGATCCCAGCCCTTGATCACTTGGCCCTTGCCAATGGTGAATGTAAACGGTGCGCCACGGTCGTAGCTCGAGTCAAACTTGCTGCCATCGCTCTGCAGCGTGCCCTTGTACATCATCGACACTTTGTCGCCCTTTTGAGTCTTGCGCGTACATTCCGCCGGTCTGGTGACTTGGACTTCGAGATCTTGCGCGAAAGCAAGCGAAGGCAACAGCGCGAGGGGGAGCGCAAGGAGGGAGGTGAGGAACCGCATGGCAGGCGGCAGTAAAGCGACGTGATGTCGCGGTCGCGGTCGAACAAGAAAAGCGGATGCGGTATTGCGCGTGAGGTAGGAGGTAGAGAGGCAAGAAGCAGTGCGAGTTAATAAGCCACGATGAGGCTGATTACTGTACCGTACTGCCGGACTTTCGGGGCTTCTGAAACCTGCGTCGTGCGAAACGGAGCGCTTAACGCTCGCAAGTGCGGACGTTTGCCCGAAACAGATGTGCCGGCGTGTAAACGGCGAGAGAGGGGAGAGAAGGGGGTCTGACGGTCAACGCCAGATGTGGATGTGCCAGGTGGTTGTGGCAGGTGTTCTCGACGTGCATGGCCACATGAGGTAACTGCGGCCAAGGGTCCTAGAT